TCTCTTTATAATTGTTTCTTCTGGATCCTATAAAACATTTTTGATGAATAGCATCTTCCTTCTGATCTCTGTTACTGTCTCTTATTTATCTGTTTGTGCCTCCTTAAACACTGTTTCAAATACTTATAAACAGGAAATGGGATTCTACAAACTTTGATTTCAAGCAAGTGTGCAATGTAGCAAAATAATTAATTTGTTTCTGGCTGTAATGTGAATGTTTGTGTTCATTGAGCATTAGTTCACATTTTTGAATCTAGTCTACGTGTTCTTGCTACGCTTTCTGGTCATTTTGCCAGTATCTTCAAATTGTAAAGGAAGGTCTGTTTTCCTGTTAAATTCTTTTAGCTGGCTATTTTCCAGCATTTTTTTCATTCTTCAATCTCAATGTAATCAAAATATATATGTAATTTCTTTTCAAAATGTTGTAATTTTATTTGGGTAATTTTATTACCAAAGATTTGAGTATTGTTGGTGTATATAATAGAGTTTTAATTATTTGGATCGTGAGAGATTAAAGGCGTAATTTTCTTGCTAATAAATATGATGTGTGTGTGGGCGGGTGGGCGGGTGGTGTGTGATTTGATCATTTATTTATAGTTTTTGGTAGGGTTTGTGCAGTTTTATATCTTAATATGGAAAAATCAAGCCCTAAATTATGTTAAATTTGGATTTGCTCTTTATCTAATTATGACTAGCATGAGCTCGACTCGAAAGCTCGATTAATTGACTTGAGTATCCCTTTAAGGTATCGACCAGACTCGAACTTGAACTCAAACTCTGTACTGTACATTGAGTCGAGTTCGAGTAGTCAGATACTCAACTCGGTTTCACCCCTAGTCTGACAGGGATTGTATTGACTTTTTTCAGATTTTGTTGGACCAAAGGTATTTTCTCCAAACCTCAGGGATGAAAATGCCAGTAAACTCTTATTCAAATGATACAATCAACCCAAAAGAGTTCATCAACTCAACTCAAGTAACTCAACTGACTCAACAGTGACATAGGCGCAGGCAGGTGAACAAAACTTCCTGAACTTAGGGTTTTTGCCCCATCTCCTTACCGCTTCACTAAACCTTTGAGCAATGTAAGTTACTCCTTTCTTCCTTTTGTTTTACTGGTTTCACTTTTTTTGTTTGATAGTTGTGTTAGGGTTCAAAGAGTTAGGGCTTTGTTTATTTTGTCAAATATTGCCAGAACACATTTTGTCAAATATGGACACTGTATTATATAAGCAGTGAAATAGGAAGTGAGTATTTGGTATTTATAGTTTTAGTTTGGAAAGATGTTGTTTTCTTCTGTTCAGTGGTGAAAGATTGCATTTTGGTATTTTGGCTCCCTCGCTTTAAAACGCCAATAAACGCAGACACAGAGACAGCCACCTGAGGCTGAAAATTGTTATTTTATTTTTTTAAATTTTTTTGATTTATATCTCTGCTTTTGTATGGTTTTTTTATTCTGTGAATGAAAAATTGTTACAGAAATTGCCGCAAGAAAATGCTTTTTTACTTTTTTATGGTTTTTGTCTTTGTGAATTAGATGACAAACAAATTAATATTGCTGGGGAATTGTATTTATTGTATCCATGTTCGGTATAAAGAATTTTCAATCATCAATTTTGTCCCGTTAAGGTATTAAATTAATTGATTGTTTGTATGGTTCCCTTAAGACATTATTTATTTTTGTATTAAAGAATTTCAATCGTAAGTGTTAATCCCAAAAAATCATTTGCACACCGTTTGGATCATATAGCGGTCTTCAAGCTTCTTTGTGACAACTCAGATAAAGAGCTTGTTTTGTGAAGGAAACTACCCCTCAATTGTTCTATCCTGTCTGCACTTTCACATAGTTGATAGAGATGGAATATGTAAGCCCTGAAGACTTAGATTGATGGTCGCGACCCTATGGAAGTATAAATCTCTTCTCTCGTTATTGGTTCCTTTTATACCCATTTTTCCAATATTAAATTCATATTTGTTTTCACATCCATCCTAGATGAGTCAACTACAAGCCAAGATTGGTGTGTTGCCAAGCAGATGAGTAATTTACACCTTTTTCTTTAATTACTTTATTTCCAGATTAATTTCAATTTTTATTTACTTTGCCGTGCGTTTCTAGTTCTGCTATGTTTGAGATGGGGAACACAAAGTCACTGCTGCTGTCTATGGCCCCAAGAGCTATCTCTCTCTCTCCCCCTCTGTCTTGTGTGTGTGTCGGTGTGAATAGGTCAAAAGTGATGCTCATTCTGTAAGCAATTTACTGTGTTTTTCAGTTTCAGAATGAGAGCCAGCAAATTACTGACCAAGCACTGGTAACATTCTCAGTAAAACTTCTAATGTCTTAATTTAAATAACTCTGATCTTCTGTATTTGTATGTTTCTCAGTGTGCTGTGAGTACAGCATGGCTAATTTTAGTACTGGAGATCATATGAGAAAACCGAAGGGTGACAGTTGAACATATTTTTTATAGTCTTTTCATATGTTTTAAAACTTAATTTACAAGTATTCCATCAGTATACAAATTGCTTACACGATTGAAATGGGTGGAAAGTGACTATAAAAAGAGTGAATTGTTACTCATGGAGGAATTGACATTTGTGTTTATTTTGGAACTTGTTAGCAATAAGTTTTAGAGCTTTTAGATGTATCTGGTGATTTGTTTGTGAACAATTACTTCGCTTTTTGTACATTACTCTCCTTCAGGTTTTTGTCTAAAATTCTGCTTTTCTTGTTTTTGACTGTCTCAGAGTATGGAGTTGGGTTCATGTGTTGTTCTTTATAAACATTGCTCTTTTGGTTTATATGAACAGTTGGGTTTCATTTATACAGCGTGTGGTTGCAAAGACTGAATGTTGTACTTTCTTGAAAGTTGTTTGACAACTTTCAATCACAAACCCTGGTTCACAGGGTGATCAAATTAAGATAGAAGGTGCTTGCATTATGCTACAGTGGTTTAAAAACCGTACCAGTTATTAGCATTTTTTATCTTTTTCAGATGGCATGAAATTAAGTTTCTGTGCTAGAATCTTTCCTCTTTCATATGTCTGTAATTGCTTAATCTCTTTTAGCCTGGTTTAGGCCAAAACCTTCTCTCTGGCTGTCATGTTAGATCTTTAGAATTTGGTACTGTTGATGAATGATTGATGTTGTGTTCTCTAGCTGATTGTAAAATAATTCAAACTAAAACAGAAACATACTTCTATTAATCACAATTAGTTGAACAAGATATATTGGTTCTGGTACTGGTTTCTTTTGACACACTTTGTCATTCTAGTTTCTGGCACAGTTTTGTAATGTTTTTGAAGTGTGGAATGTAATCTTAACTATTGACATTGTATCCTTTGTTTTTTGTACCGTTATTACCTCATCATTAAGGTTTATGCATATGATGATTATCAGAGGTTTCAAGTTTTTGGAAAAAAATTTCTTCCTAGAGCTCTCATTTCTGATGCTTTCCTGACACAGATGGATGCTAGTTACCAACCGGTACATTTGAAGATGTCATGCAACTTGCTACTGAAGCAAATTATATTCGAGCAGTAAAATTATTTTTTCTGTTCATAACTTTCCTTGTCCTTATTTGTAAATTTAGTTTGATTTTCATCTGGGACTATGTGTTTTAATAATTGCTATGGTATCCATATGTTTATTTGCTTCATTAATTCCCTAAACAAGATTTGATTATTATTGCGTGAATTTTTAGGATTATTGATTAGGATGTGGGCTGCTACTAGGTAGACTTCTAGCTACTTTCATTTTTCATTGTAAAAGGCTTGTGGATCTTTAATTAAGACCCCACTCCGGTCTGGTCATCAGTCCTTCGTTATGTGTGTTGGAAACTCAGAATTCTTCCACCAGTTCACACTTATCTACCTAACATAAATGTTCACTTAAAAGGGCTTTGCATTTGTAGATCCTTAATTGGGACCATACTTTAGTCCTCAGATTCCAGGGAAAGTGGTTCTAATCTCTCTATAAATATAATTGAAGGTTTTAGAACTAAATTTTGTGCCAATCAGGATTTTGTGAAACTCTTAAAGATGGATTGTACGGTTTATTTGAGTATGAATATGGAAACCTACGGAATTTTTAGACCCAATTGCTGTTTCAATTATGAGAAATCGCCTTGCAATGACTTGTATAAACTACCTCCTTTGAAAATGTTTGTCAAAAGCCAGACAGACACACACCACACCATCAATCAAGTTATGACACTAATTATTGGTTCATGATTGTTTGAATTGAATTTTCTTTTTTTGAGAAAGATAGTTCAGAATTTCAACTAAAATAAACGTTTCATTATAAGCTAAGGATCATTTTCAATTACAATTCTTCTTGTTATTTCAATTATATGATATTATGTATATATAAAATTATCACAAATCATAGCTTGATTATCAAACCACACTAACCTCATCATCATACATTTGAATTGATCTCTTCAGGGTGCACCCCATTTCAAAATCAAACTTTTATCTCCAAACAAATAAATTTTATATGTAGAATAATGCAGTAAACCTTCACTGCCTACGTTGTACGCCTGGTAAGCAATTTTGAGTGGCATGTTAATTAAACCAATCCACCTCATAAAACGAGGACTTGACTTACTTTATATTTATAACTTTATAAAAATTTCCTTGCCGTGTTATGTGACGAGAAATTCGTTTTACTGGTGCGGTTCATTCAAAGTTTGCATCCAAAATGGCCCCAATTGACTCTAAATTTATATTTCCACAATAAATTCTAATTCAAAGTCTTATCATTGCCGTATGTGATACTTATTTGAATCCAACAATGAAGCAGTACTGAAGCTGCTTATTTTAGACAAACTTTAATGTTGTAGGCTAAGATCGAAAATTGTTCTAGAATGAATATTATGTTGAAAAGATTATTTTATTATAGATAATCATTTATTTCAGAACTTGTAAAAAATAAATACATCCATTTATAACATATTGTAGTTGACATTGTTTAACAAACTTTATTCTGAAGTTTATAGGACATTAATTATAAAACGCAAGAAAATTACTCATATAGTTACAGTAGCCTCGACCCAGTCTGGAGTTTGTAGAAGTCTGTTCTTGATAGAATGCAGTTGAGCGTAACATCATCCATGTTCGTCCTTCCACTCGGCGACCTGAAGAGCAAGTGACTCCAATTCCAAATATCGAAATCAAGCCACTCCCGAACACTGTGACTTTCAAGCTTGTCTGTCCTTCTTCTATTTCCTGAAGAAGAACTGGATCCACTATTTCAATGACTCGTTCGAGGATAGCTGTCTTAACAAAATCATGAAGATTCATGTCACCATTAAACATCTCATCGGTCGGCCTCTTCCCTGTAAACATCTCCAATAAGAGTATTCCATAACTGTACACATCACCTTGAGTTGAAACCTCACTTCCCATGCTGTACTCTGCAATTGGAAATATTATATATTTGTACAAAGAACTTCTCTATAAATAATATAGTTTGTATAACCACATTTTTAAGGAATTTTTTACGAGGTAAAATGAAAAAAGAAATACATGAGTCATATGAATTTCAGAAATGATAAAATATAAAGTTCAAAGTATTTACCAGAGCAGCATAACCAACAGTTCCTCTTACACCAATGGAGCTTGTTTGATTACTTGAAAGCTTGGGTGCCCTCTGGAAGGAATCTTACCAATCCAGTCACCTACATGTGCTGTCAACTCATCGTCAAGAAGAACATTGCTTGGCTTGAGATCGCAATGAACCATTGGTGTTTGGCCATGGTATGAAGATAATCCACTGCACAAGCACCATTGATAGCAATATCAGTCTTGTAGAAAGTTTAGATTCCTCGCCGCCTCTTGTAAGACATCTGTAGTTACATTGGGATGCAACCACTCCTCCAAGCTTCCATTAACCATAAACTCATAGATCAAAGCCTTGAATCATTTCCTTGGAAATCAACACTTGCACAAGCGGTTATTATTTTGACAAGATTTCGATTCTGATACTTCTCAAGGCTTCACATTCAGCCAAGAACTCCTGGAAGCTCCTCGATGTTGAAGTTTAGAACTTTCACTGCCACTACCATTTCGTTATGGCTAGGATTCCCTTATACACATAACCAAAACTCCCCGAACCATCAAATTTTCTGAAGAGAACCCAGCAGTTGCTTTCAATAGATTCTCATAGGACACTTGCAGAAATGAAGCTACATGGTGATGCAGAAGAGGATTCTTTTCGTTCTTCTCCACCAGCGAATAATTATCAAACATAACATCATAGTCAACAATAAATTCCAACAACTATAGAATATCACTGTTTTGAAACAGACCGAGTTTGCTTTGATCCTTTGATGGGACACTCTGGATAATGTAACTCGGTTATGCCACCACAAAGTTTTATTGTTTCCCGAAAGTGAAATTGCACTTGCGTTGTTGAAGACTCCACCGATGGTACTTCACCCTCAAAGTCGTTGTCAGATAAATTTAGGTTCATCAAAAAGGAAAGTTCACTAAATATTTGGGTATTTGGCCAGACAGTTATTGATGAAAGATCAATATATCAATGCCTCTCAAGAAACTCAAGAGGATGGGATATTCCCTTCAAGAAATTACCATCCATGGCTAGTTGTCGCAACTAACGCAACTGCCTAAACTATCAGGAATTTTACCAGACAATTTGTTCTTATATAGCTAGAACAGCTAGATTTATTAAGTTACCAACATTTGAGGGCAAGGAACCAGTCAGTTGGTTTAGAGATAGATCAAGATAAATTGACAAAGATGAGAGACCAGTTACTTCAGGGGGTATAGTACCACTTAGATTGTTATGAGAGAGATCTAAATCTTCTAATTTGTGCTTCTCCCAAGGCTCGATGGAATGGTCCCCTGTAACTTGTTTCTGTCTAATCTAAGCCAACTTAACAATGTTAGATTGCCTAGAGAAGATGGTATATACCCAGAAACCTGTTCCCATGGACCTGCAAAATCTGTAGCTTCTGAAGATTCCCAATATTGCTGGGAATATGGCCGCGTGAATCGGTTCCTCCTAGCTCTAAAACCTCCAAGTTACAAGATTGCCACCTCCTGTTGGGTTTTTTCAAACATTTGATTGTTTTCAACTGATGTGGATGTGAGTTGGGTTGAAAAATTTCCTATAATGTCTGGCAACATACCTCCAAATCTTTGACTAATATCATTCCTCTAAGCTTGTAGCATTTTGCAAAGAATTGAGAAACTTCAAGTCATCTTCTTCCCCATGTCCTAATTGATTAGAAAAAATGTCAATGATTTGTAGTTTATGTAGGTTCTCCATGTGGCAACTTTCCACTAAATCTATTGTCTGAAATAGCAAGTATTGTTAGACTTGAGGCATTTGATATGAATGAGGAATGGTCCGGTCAATTGTTGGTAGCAACACTTAGTATTACAAGGCTAGGAAAGTGAAGCCTAAGTCTAAGGGAAGACTCCCTTTAAGTTGGTTCACCTCAAAATCGATTCCCTCAAGCGAAGTTATATTGTTGATTGAGGGAGGAATAGTACCTGATAGCTTATTTCCTCCAAACTCCATAACCTTGATCCTTTTCAACCGACCAAGTGTTGCTGGAATTCTTCCTTCAAATTGATTTATGCTTGCTGAAAGTATCTCAAGAGATGACATTGCCAAGGAATAGGCACTTCTCCTGTAGATTGTTGTTGAATACATAGAGTCCACGAGCTTTGATAAAGATCCAAGCTCCCCTGGAAGTTTCCCTACCATCTTATTATTGCCACCACTAAACCATTCAAGGTTGGCACAACCTGATAAGTTGTTAGGAATTTCCCCTCCGAATGAATTATTTTGTAGGTTTAAATATTGTAACCTAAACAAATAGCCAATCTCGTGAGGGATTTCATTGCGGAAGCTATTGTTCTTGAGATTCAAAACCCTAAGAAAACTCGATTCCAATAGACGGTAATAGAGACCCCTCCAATTTTGAATGAGGAAGGCGTAATATGGTCACCCTTTGGTGACGTCGACCACATACACCCTTCCATCGGCAAAAGTGTTGGAATCATTCCATGAGCTCAAACCTGATGAGGATCATGAGTTACTTTAGCCTTGAATTCAAAGTGCAGTCTATCAGTTTCATTCTTTTGAGCACAGAGCTGGTAGAAGCAACAGAACCATAAGGTAGCAGGCTTGACCAGAATAAAAGCAGCAGATAAAAGCTAATAGAGCAAAAAACTATTCGACTCAACATTGAACTATGAAATTAAGAAAACACTCTTGACAGATAGCTTCAAAGGCTAGGAACTTATAGGCACTCAGGAAACACAACCTTCACGTATACGTTGATAGAAAATTAAGATGCAAGTGAGTAGACTTCTTGCTACTACACCTCAACATTGTAAAAGGGGTTGTGGATCTTTAATTAGAACCACATTTAGTCTATATTTCATCCTTCAATCACGTTGCATGTGTAAAGGTCATTCTCCTACAATTTGCCATTACAAAGTAACATTTAGAATCAACTCTAATATGAAGATAAATGAGTCGGCTCTCATGCAAAAGACAAACTGATGTAGGATTGTTTTTCATTTATTTATTGTCATAAATATGGCTAATGTGTATGTGGAAAGTTGACTTGATGATTGGTTAATAAGGTGTTTTTTCCTTTGAACCTCTGCAGAACTTTCTTCTTCATCGTATTTTTTACTCCTGTCTCTAGCAAAAACAGGTCAAGTCTGATAACCCCATTTTCTCGATCACAAACATTCAGCCTTTTCCAAATTATCACAAACGTGTTAATTCAAGTCGTCTCCTTTGAAAATGTTGTCATAAGCCAGACTAACACTCACTGTCAACCAAACATATGACTCTAAAATAATAATATTAGAATGAGTAAATTTGAAAAATCAACTTAATAAAATACTCCATGATTATTATTATTATTATTATTATTATTATTCTTTTGAAAACTTTTATAGTACTGGAGATGTGAATATCTTCAAGAAAAACCACATAATGAGCAAAAGGTGAGTAGTTTTGGTTAATCATTCATGCAGAAGTGGAACAAAGTCTATTCAGTGGCATTAATTAATGCAATCAATTGCTGCATTTTCCGAATAACCATATTTTAGGCTAAAATATTGCAATCTGGTCAAAGCGGTTTTGTTTTTTCTTAATTTTAAGTGGAACAAAGTCTCATATAAGTCTTAGTCAAGGTAGTAAAAGGTATCCAGGCCCGTGATTTTCTTTGTCTAAAGGAATGACGAGCTTTAGTTCACAATTATTCTTCTTTCTTTACTAGTTTATGCATTCACACTTGCTCATAAAATATTTTTCGTCAATCCATTTTTCAAACACTTTCGAGTGCTTCGTGCTACGCACACGAAATTAGTCAATTTAGCAGTCCAGTTTTTAATTTCCTGTGGACCAACTCTCATATCCTTCTCAATCTAGGCATATAGTGAAGTTTCTTTTTTCAATTGTTGATTATAGGTGGAGTTCACTAGACTCTCCTTTCTCAGGAAATTGTATTGTGTAAGTTTCTGTATGAATTCAATCTTCATTTTTGCTAAATTAACTATCAACATGAAATTTTAGTAGGTTTGGGTAGATTTCTTATTTTTTGGTTCTGAGCAGCCAATTAAACATGTTCTTTTTTTTATTTTTTTCTGTGGACATTTCCTGTGTAAAACTAACAAGAATAATGGTTGATTCTTCAACAGCAACCTAGGCCAAAATAGTCCAATCCCAGAAATCCGTATATATATAGTTTTGAAATTCTTAATTTCTTATAAAAAATATCATAAAATATAATACGATTTTTTATTGTTCAGTGGATCTAATCATTGCAAATTTTACTTTAGGCGAAGACTTGCCTCATTGTACATGACTTTATGAATATATCTTGTCGTGTCTGTGGAAAATTTTGGTTTATTGTTCCAACTTCTAAGTTCATTCAAAGTTGGCAACGAATTAAATGGCCGTAATTGACTCAGTGAATGAGTTTTCTCATTAGGAGTTTCATTTTTATACAGTGTAAGCATTTATTTCTTGATGACTCATAAATGGATTTGTTTGCTTCCCTTGATTATTTGAATGACTTTGCATGAGTTGTATACTAATTCTCTTCATCCAAAAACAGTAATTTGTGGGGGGCGTGGATGGCACTTCACTATAGTTAAGTTGATAGGCAGTGTCTGGAATATTAACCAGTTTTATAGATCAATTTGCTAAATCATTAGGACCCTGAACATTGAATGGCATCTAAAAAATGAAGTTGTCCCACTATCCACTTATTTCCTGTTAGTGTGAAGCGCAAAAAAGATGTCGTTAACTTTTAGTGCACGCTGTCGTTTTACGCAGTTGCTACAAAGGAAAATCCTGACCATTGAAAGCATAAAGCATCTACAGGCCAGGTTCATCTCTCTTAAAAACAGAATGAAAGTAATACTTACGCTGTTGCAGACGGTTTTACGTATCTACTGGTTTTTTAGATCTTTTTGTACTCTGTTAGGGTCTGCTCTATATCTCATTGTTTGATTGTAATCTTGGGGTGGTTGGTTGTAATCACTTTTAAGGGTTGCATTTTCCCTTTGAGTCTTGAGGATCTGTTGTTAGAATTCTCATAGAAAGATTCAGGTTGTGTCGTGAGAGAGAGATTCGCATGTATAATGATTGGGTGTAAATCTTGGTTGTATTGGTGTTGGATTAATCTTTAGTTCAGTAAGCCCAAGTTTCTGGAGCTTAATGTGATGTAGCTTATCCGATATTGGATAAGTGAACCACGGTAAAATCCATGTTCTTGTTTCTTGATTCCTTTTACGTTTTGATTGTGTGTGTTATGTGTGGAATTGTGAAGTGGTTAGGTTGTTAGATTTGCATATTTTCTCTACAGTGGTATCAGAGCCATTAATTTAGGGTTTGTTGATTTTAGGGTTTACTGTTGAAATTAGGGCTTGATAAATTTTTGGGGTTTCTTGATTTCAAGATTCGGTGAAGTCTAGGGTTAGGAAATCTTTGAAACTTAGTCCCTATTCCTTGTGGTAACCACGAATCCAGTGAAACCCTTTATTTCTTCGATATGTCGGTCAAATTTACCAAACACCATTACTATCTGTTTCACATAATGGTACCACACGGGTTGAAATCACGCACTATGATGGCAAATTGATTTCAACACTGAAGAAGAAAATGAAGGCACTCCTATCATAAACAAAGTTGGCAGTCACCTGGGAGACCAGACCAAATGGCTGGAGGAAAAGCTGAACAAGAAAGCTAAATTGACGGGAAGTGTACAATCTTATCATCATGACACCTGGCCGACAACATGTTACGGAAGGTAGATGGTGTTGAGACACCGAAAACTATCTGGGGTAAGCTTGAACACTCTATGCAATTCAATCTGCTCATAATCTTGCTTATTTGAAAGTATACTGTTTCATATAAGAGGATGTGCTAGACCATAGAGAGAACCTAGATGAGTTCTTTTGAAAAGACCTTTGTACTCAAGGGCACTGATCAAGAACTCGGTGAGTCTTAACTAGCCATGATTCTTTTAAATTCCATTACCGGAGAATATCAGGTTGTCAAGAATGCTCTGCTTTACACAGGAATGTCCCTAGTCTAGACCTAATTGCATTAGGATTGAAGGTTAGAGAACTAGAGCTTAGGGTCCGAGAAGAAAACAATAGTAGTCTGTTGTAAAAGGAAAGGGAGATTCTAGGCAGTCTGGGGGTATCCCCAGTTTAATACTTGTTTAGAAATAAGAAGAAAAACAAGAACACTCATAGGGTAAAAGGAGAAACAAGGAATGTTTTCTCTGTAACAAGATTGTCACCTGAAGAAAAATTGCTATGAGTGGATCAGAAAACAAAACAGAGTATTACAGAGAGCAATTTGGCCTCTAGTAAATGATTTCCAGAATTAGAAGTCTTGATTGTATCTAGGTCTAAAAATCTAGATGAATGGGTATTAACTCTGGTGCTCATTCATATGAGCCCAATAAGTGGTTTCAGGAATTTGAGCTGGTGAACTAGATACAGTGTACATGGGTTAATAATGCCTACACGGTTCGGGGATTGGGAGTAAGTTTTAAGACTTGATAATGGTAAATCTGTCAAATTAACTAGGGTGAATATATACCAGAACTGAAAAGAACTTGCTCCTCCTAGGCACTTAGATGATCAGGTTGCTGCTATAAGGCTGAATATGGTTGCCTAAATCTGTATAAGAATAAGACCTTAGTTCTAAAAGGTGTCAAACGAATGGCCTCTACATCCTGTGTGGTAACTACTGTCAAATTATGTTAATTCTGCTCTATTCACTACTATCTTACTGTTACAAAAAATGGCACCTCAGAATGGGTCACATGGTCCAGAAGGACTCAACATTCTGAGCCAGCAAAGTTGTTTGGTAAGGAGTCTATTAGACTTTAAATTTTTTGTGAGACCTATCTATTAGGTGACACACATGGGTGAGTTTCTAGAAAGGACACCCCTGGCCACAAATGGTCTAGAATACCTTCATACTAATTCTTGGGGGCCTAAAAAAACCAAAACACATGGGGAAGCAGTTACTTTCTATCTATAGTTGATGATATAGTAGAAAAGTTTGGTTTTCTGCTTAGACCAAAGATGAGCTCTTGCTGGTTTAAAGTTGAAAGTATTAGTAAGAATCAAACTGATAAGAGAGTTAAAGCTCTCAGAACTAACAACGGCTTAGAATTCTGTAATAGTGAGTTTTACCAATTTTGTAGTGATCAAGGGATA